AATAGCAGCTGCTCAAATAAGCTTCAGCTCCCTGCTTCTAAAGATCACCGACCTCTGCCAAGCGTCGGAGCGGGGGTGCGTGTAAGCGAGAAACGTTGTCTGTTCGTGTTGACAGTGAGTTCGCTCGTTATACTGAAAAAGACGTCCCTGACCTGACAGTTCCCAGCCCTCTCTTTAGGTTTGGGGATCTGAGGCCTAGCTTGCCTATCGCACTCATTTTCTGCTTCCTCACGTACAGTTCTTCGTCACCACAAGGCAGGATCCCCGGTGATGAGAGCTGAGACTAAAGGTACGTGTTTATGACAATAAATCAAATAAGAAACCAAAAGCACAGGGGTAACGCCAATGGGGCATTTATGGGGTGGTGGGAGTCCAGTGGGAATCTCAAAGGAAAGATCGGGAGAGGTGTCCTTCCGGAGGAGACCCTTGCAGAGGGAGAGCTGACGACTGGAGGTGGCCGGCGCTCTCGCTGGGGTGGTGTGGCAGGGAGCAGGCGATGAGCCCGCTCTGCCCTTCCTGAGCCGCCGCGCGCGGGGTGAATGCAAGTGCTCTGCAGAGGCCAGCACCGAGATCCGGGCTCGCTCTGGTTGTGGTTTTGCCCTCGCTGATGAATCTTCACTGCTACACAGAGCATGCTTGTTTTCTTCTTCCAGACTTCGTAACCGCCTCAGCCCAGCTAGGCCCAGGAGATCCTCTGTGCTTGTGAAACGGCCGCGTCAAGCTAAGACTTTTCTAGTTCCAGCACCCCTGGCGAGCAGCTATCTTACCGGACGATGATTTCAGAGCATGCTGTTGTAAGTGGCTCGAGAAATTAGAAGAGAGGGAGATAACAGTGGAGAGGAGACCCTTCCCAGCCGTCTGTGTGAACTGTCCCCAGTCCTTCGCCGCTCCGCTCTGCGCAGGCTGTGAAGGATGCTGGTGTGTGCCAGTGGGCTGCGGAAGGGACAGCGGGGGACGGGAGTGGCCGTTTGCCTGCTCACTTTTTGGGAAATGCACCTTGGCAAGGGCGACCTGGGGCAGACGTTGGGAGTTGAAACGCAAGGGGCTGACTCCCCATGCTTGGATGTAAGGGCAGAATGACTGGAGTCTGGGTTGGCCCCCCTTGCCATGAGAAGCTCCTTCCTTCATGTTACGTTCTCCTCGCTCGGTGAGCTGTGCCGGAGTTTCCCGTGTGTAGGAGAGCAGCGCACGTTACTGGAGACGCTGCTTATGCTAAGGCAGGATGGGAACCAGGGGGGCTGTGGTGCTGAGCTCTGCGGGACGGCTCTGCAGCTCCTCCCCGGCGTCAGCGTGCCCTGGGGAACCGTGCTGGTGGACATGGCTGTGCTGGGGGCTTCGCCTGAGCGGGACCATGTCCCCTGCCTGCGGGCCGGCTTTCCGGGCAGTGCCGGTTGGGAGAGGGAGGAGGCAGGCTCTCCTCCTCCTCCTCCTGCTCCTGCTCCTGCTCCTCCTCCTGCATGAGCCATTCTCCCACCAGATCCGATTCCCACAGGCCCACCAAGAAGTCTCTGTCCTGGGGTCATTCTGGTGGGCCAGCACAGAGGTGGTGAGGAACTGAAACTTGCTGAGTATGGGTCAAAGCCTGACATTTTATTATGAGGCGCCCAGTTTCTTCTCTGTTTGTGACATTGCTTTCCCGTCCCAGAGCTGCCCAGTCTCTTTTCCTCAGCGGCAGCCGTGCAGATGATGCCCTTTGGTCCAGGTTCCTCCCAGCCAGGACCACCCCTCGTACCCCTGGTAGCAGTAGAGGCTTCTTCGTGGTTCCAGCTGACCCTGGGGCTCAGTTCCTGAGCTGCACCGTTCACCTGTAAATAGGCAACAAGCGGCTTCCGTGCTTCCTCTTGACAGCCCAAAAGCAGCTTCCCTGTTCCGAGTGACTTTCCTTGGGTGCTGGGAGCATTCCCAAACCAGTGGCCAAGCATCCCTGTTAGCTGCTTCCCAGGTGCTCCGTCCTCTCGTGTGGCTGCGTCCTGCCCGGCGCGGGTCTGCTGGGGGGACGCTGCCGCGCTCGCTGCCATGCCGGCCCCTGACGCCTGCCCTGTGCCTGCATCTGGCGCCTGCCTGCTCTGTTGCCGAGTGTAATTCCGGCCTTCGCTGGGCACGCGTGCCCTGGCAGCGGCGCTTCCGCTCCCTCGGGCTTTGGCGGTGCCCCGGCTGCTCGCTCCTCTACTCCTGCTTTGAACGGTGGCACGTAAAAGTGGCTTTAAAACCCAAACACACGCAGCGGTATCCACGCCAGGACTGTGTTACGCACACCGGCATCTCAGGGCTGTTCAAAGCTACGGTGAGCCCTTTCTGCTGCACCCCCTCGCGAGCGGCCGGGGGGGGAGCAGCACCAAACCAGAGCGCATTGGGGTTTTCCGATCGGGAATCCAAGCGAGCAGGTGAGGCAGAGCTGGGAGCGCGCC